TCCAAAGAAGCTAAAATTTTCCTTACTATAAGTTCAAGATATGCCTGTTATATACCTTCAGGGAGAGATTTGATACACTTAATTTGTCAAGGATACTGCACTAGAATGCTCATTTCTTTAAAAATTGTTTCTGTGAAATGCTTGGCATACTTGTATTTTTACTCTTGAAAAAGAGTTACCTTTATTGTTCAAATTAATAGTATAATAAACTGTCACAGGAAAGGCAACATGAGAAGCAATAGTAGAACCAAAGAATATATCCAGTTCTCAGCCTCACAGAGTTTTTTGAAAAACCATGCTGTTAATGGCCATGTTTTTATAAGATTTATCGTATTCAGCTTACATTCTAATGTAAATTCAGTGAAGGACCTTATTTTTATGCAAGTGTTTTTCTGTGAATAATGCATAAGGCAAATCCAAAGCTTTACTCTGAAAAAGCACCTGCAATCTTTCATAATAGCCGAATATAAAAAGCTCATTATAAGTACAGAGACTAGTTACACAGTTCACTCTAAATTCTACACTCTTTTCAGTCATAAATACATTCAGATTCTTGAACAAGAACTTTACACTTAAAACTTATTTTCATAAAAGACACCAATAAAAGTCAATGTGCTTTTATAAGAAAAGGTCTGCTATAGTGTTCATACACACTTCTGCCAAGGAATAAGTACTTTTAAGGACCAACAAAGAAAAAAAAAATAAGGCCTTATCAAGCGAACAGGAACTGAATAAACTAAAGCAATTATCTATATCTGAAATTCACTTTTGTAATCTGTAAGAATAAAATAAATCAGTAAGTAGGATGCATTGTTATTAAACATAATCTAATATGTTTCTAATCAAGTTTTTGATGAGTGTTTTCCTTTGCTTCTGATAATACCAAATATTTTACAGACTGTGGAAAAACTAGAGTCACAATTCAAACAACTGCCAATTAATTTATAATATTTTCAATTGATCACAAATATCTTGACTGCGGTATATTTTCTTTAATTTCTCTCTACAGTGTTGTTTAATATTCAATAAAATGTATCTATTTTTAATTCTTTGAAATCCAGACCCTTCGCTAAGCTGTATCCTCAAAATACCCGAACCGCCCGAGCCCGAAATAGTTTTCCAGTTTCACAGCAATTTCCTCCCTTCCCCGTCCATTAGCGCAGAACATAGGTGTAAACATTTCAAATGACATCCTTTGTACTTTCTAACAAAGATTCCATTAGCCTTTGATCCCATTCTTTATAAAACTATTCTGAGGGTCAGATCAACAAGCCTTTCTGGCTTTGTTATGATCACGACTGAGATTTTGTTTATTTTCGTTATTTTTATAGGAAGGAATAAATTGTTTAAAAATAAATATAATCCTTAAATTTTTAAACTGCTCTTTTATTGCTGTAAAGCTTAAAAGCACACTGTACCACAAAAGAATCAACAACGAAATGTCACGATCAGCCAAAAGATAAAAAAACCTCTTAGGACAAGCTGTCTGCAGTAAACTGATACAATGCATTTGGGGAAAGTGCACCTGCTATTGAAAAACTTAGGGGGAGGGAAGAAAAGAAGATTACAATCTCGACCGTTTTCGTGCAGTTCTGGTTGTTTCAATGTAGGGCCGTGTCGGGCAGATTGGATGTGAAGGAGTTAAAATAACAACAGCTTTTAAACATTTATTCAATAACACCACCACTCAGCAGCCTCAGTGAAATCCAATAAATAACCAGAACTATTCACTTGCTATATTCACACTGAAGCATCATATGATGTGTTATTGTGACTTCTGTAACTTGTCTGGCAGTATCATCAGAACCAGCCTACGAAATTCATCATGGCAAAGAGAGCAAGACCGTGCTCATCGTAGGCTAAAGCCTTCAGCACCATACAGATGGCAGTACAACTTTACTCAGTTCCACCTCAATATTGATGGTGAACACTCCAGGGAAACGGGTCCAAGGGTCTTTTACCCCTCTTCTCCTACCATCAACCTCTCGAGAGAACTTTCCTCTCGCCGTGTATTTACAGCCATGCTGCATGCTGTTTGTACATTTACAAACATGCATGATTTCTCCAGGATTCAAACTCGGGCCCTTTGGTATTGCAGTAGGCTCCTCTAACCACTACAGGGCCCCCCATCAAGTGATATTCATTTTTATTAATGTAGTAAGCTCAGAAATATTTTTTTTTCAGATCTATAATAAGTAGAATAATTCACTGTTTCATATATACAACTAAAATTTTTACATCTAATATTTACTCATGAAAAGCAGCACAGTGGTTTGTTCAATTTCTTATCACATCAATGGTTTACTTCTCTCAAAGCATTTAACCCATTGATGCACGCGATATTATTTTTATAATTTTTTTAACTAAAAACTCTAGAAATTGAATATTATGATCCTAGAGACAAATAATATATGAATTAAAAAAAATCTACTCTTGCCCATTGTTCTGTGGGTGGTGGTCGCACTGTGAAACCACCGCACGTCTAGGACTTTGAAACTTACTGATGTAGTAGGTAAAAAAAACTTAAAATTTTCTGCGCGCGTTTCCAATACATGACGAAATTTACGGATTTAAAAAAAATGTAAGAATTGCATTATATATAACTCTTTACATTATTTTATAAAGTAAGTCATCAGAAAAAATTTAAAAATAAACATTTATGTAATTTTTTCTATAGCAATGAAAATATAACTACCTACATATAATAAGGACATTTGGATAAATGGATTAAAAAACTCAATAAAATAAGGATAAAAAAGAACTCAAGTGTTTTTTTTTTTTTTTTTAATTTCAAAGAACAAATTTTTTTTTTGTGACACTGTTCAAAGCATGTTTTGTCTCTTTGGATAGACCCACATTGCACGTTTCGCACATAAATCTTGTTCTATGAGGTTTCTTCCTCGTGCTACAAAATGTACACTGCCTGGATTTAAATTTCACTGGTATATGTACAGCCTTATTTAGTTTCTTTTCATCCAGTACATGAAATTTGTGGTTTTTTATGTTAATTGGAGAGGGGGTGCTTGGTCTTTTTGGCTTTGTACGGATCGTTCGTTTCCCATTCATACTTATTTTATTCGTATTTCATCCCAAAATATTCAGAAAATATTTTTAATTTAAATAAAACTTTTACGTAATTTCTATTTTTAATTATAGCAAAGTATATTTACATTAAATTTAAACCACAGGAAATAATTTATAAAATCACAATACTAACTTGGGAAGCAAGTGTGTTGATGTTAGAGAAAATTATTTGGAAAAGAAAGACATTATTACTGGGCAGGTGCATGTACTGTTTAGTAATAAAATAACTCTGTGGTTTCAAAGCCCTTTATCTATATCCGGGTAAAAATAAACATTCCAATTTGAAAAGCAAGCGAACGCCATTGAGAAGCTAACGCCAGTGGTTTCAAGGCGCGACCACCGAGCCTCTAGAGCGCACTAGAGCATTGTGCACAATGCTCTAGTGATGCAGTGGTCGCGCCCTGAAACCACATAGCAAATGCCATACATATAGAGGTCTTTTTTTTATATATGCAGCTTAATTACTGCAATTTTTTATTGTTCATGATAGAAATCACGATGTGCGATGACTAACTTTTGAAATTTAAAGTTGTTTATATTAATAAAAGGAAGTTATTTTGTCTCATCGAAAACGAATTTTAAAAACATATATGATTCTACAGTCATTTTGTGTTATTTAGATGTAAAAGATCAGTAATCAATTCATTTTCATTCAAAAATTTTGGAAAAAAGAGGAGAAAAAGAATTTGGAAAATGGTGGTTTCAAGGCGCGACCAACGCGCGTAAAAGGGTTAAGCTGTTTAAGTAAAATACTGGGCCATTTCCCATTGTTCTAGTAAGATAGTCCCTATCGGACAGCCACTAATAAGATAGCCCAGAATACCACAACATACAGCCACAACTGCTGTTTTTACATTTCTTTTACTTCAAATATATGAATATACAGCACACAAAAAAAGTCATTATCAATACAAATTTTAAATCAAACTAATTCATAACTGTTAAATATTAATAAGATTATTTTTAGCTTTTTTGAAGTGCAAATTACGGTTTCTTAATCCCTGAGTGGCATGAACATCTTTGTCTGGTCATACGATTTTTTTTTTTTTTTTCCAGTTGGTATATAGAAGCATATAATTTAAAATATTTAGCTTCTAACTTTCTTTAATAATGCAAATACCATCTTAATGATTGGAAGCTTAAGAAAACATACTCTGGACTAAGCAATTATATACATTTGGCTAATACAAGCTGTTTAAATACAGATCTTCATGAGCCATACCACTCAGAGAGTTAAATATTTATCACAAGGGATATAATATCATAAAAATCCCATGCCAATGCCTAAATTACCAAAATTTATATTCACATGAAAAGAATTATACACATTTATCAATTAAGGTATTATCTAGACCAGGGCTTCTTAAACTTTTTTCAGTCGTGACCTCTGGACACAATAAGCATTACGCAAATCCGACACATATGCGAGTGAAACCGTCATTGTTTTCACTTGTACTGTAATATACTATTGCAGTTATAGGTCACTAACTTTAATTTATAATTTTAAGACATAGAACAATGTGAAAATTTTAAATAAGTAACAGACAAAATGACAGCGCCACGTGCAAAGCAAATAGCAAAATGAACGTTTATATTATATTATAAAAAGAATGAGTCAAAACATTTTCGTTTTTTATTTGTCTGTATTGTCTTATCTTTATCTATTTTCAGATACATTATGTAAAAATACTTGTAATTGTAAAATTATTATAATAAGTTAAAGAAATATCAAAACAGCTAAAATTTTTGGCGACCCTTGCTGCAGGTCTCGTGATTAAGAAACTCTGATCTAAACAAAACAAATCATCAGCAGTAAGAAGCTACTATTAAAAAAAAAAAAAAAGTCATGTTAAAAACAAAAACTCTTAAGGTGCTAAAATCAAAATTTATAAATTCAGTAACTACTAAAAGGATACGTATGACCACAAGTTAAATTATATGTTTTCTCTACAATGGCAGTGGAATTATCTTGGACTAGAATTGTATTACCACAAACAGCACATATATTAGGTTCTAACTGTCTGTCTGGTATACCTGAAGTAGTATAATACTGTAAGAAAGTAAAAGTATATTTAATGTTCAGTTACAAAATTGTAAAACATTTCATTATCTAAGTTTCTGTTATGCTGAAACAGAGTTCAATTTCTGAAACTAAAAATATAAAATAAGAGCAGAATCAATGCACAAAAACTATTACGACATGGAATTAAAATATATTTTGTGATATACATTTCAACAGTACATCATCAACAGTTCCCAGCTGTCTTCCCCTTCTCAAATTTTAAAACATTCAAATTGACATTTAAAAACTATTCTGAATGCAAAGAATGAGATAATTTACATAATTATTTTAAGATACAAATGAAAATAAAAAAGTAAGGATGTAAAAGTAATTCAGGAAGTCAGCAGTTGAAAAATTAAATAATATAAAACAGAAAATATCAGTCACTGCTTGTACAAAAATTTTCTGTTACAGTTCTTGGTTTCATTAAGTACTCTAATACAACTATTAACTTCAATTATTTTTTTTTTCCTCCTGAAGGAGAGGGATTTGTGATTCGCCTTGAAATCAATATCTTTGTTTAAAATCTACATCAGAATATGGTTACTGTTTTGTCTAATTTTAAATATAGAATAATAATACATTATTTTGTTAAAATATGAAAATAGACTATCTATTTACATGAAATTAAGAAGCAACTAAGAGGTTTCATAATTGCCACATTAGCTTTAAGTAAAAGAAAAAAATAAAAGTTCATTTAAAAAAAAAAAAAAAAAAAAAAAAAAAAAAAAACTTCTCTGCTTATTCCAAAAGAATCCAATGAAAGATTCCTGCTAAATAAATCGAGAAAAAATGTTTATTTAACTTGCCAGATTAAGTTAGGTTACTTGAATAGGACAGCTGTTTGTCTAATGGGAGGCATGCCTTTGCAGACGACTCCTCTAAACAAAACTGGATTGGATTCATATCACACATTGGAGATTGGGTAGGGGGTGGGGACTCATGCCAATTTGCCAGTTTTCAAACTCACATCAATATTCCTCAGTCAATATTCCTCAAGTGTCAATATTCCTCAGTCTTAACCACTTAGCCACTATTGGGGCTTAAACTTGTTACAAAAATATTTAGAGATAATAACTTAATTTTTAACCATGTTTTTTTAAGAAATAATTTTAACTACATTATATTACATTTTAAAAAGCAATTATGAATTATTTAGACCTATATAATTCGATCATGGACTGTAAAAGTGTACCTGGAGACTCATTTGACTGTAATAATTAAATTTAGTAAATGGCAATATACATATATTATCTGATAATAATTTCAACAAAAATAAGGTTCTATTCATTTCGGTGAACAAGAGGAAATGGCATGCATATATCTATGGGGAATAATGCAATTTTTAAAGAACAACAAATTAATAATAATGATTAAGAAATGTTATGATATCTTATAAAAACTGAGTTTTAGAAATCATCTAAAACATCTTTAAAATCAATAATTAGTCAATAATGAACTTCATAGAACAAATACAGAATTGGCATGTATATAAAGTTTATTTGAATCTCTGTTGTTTTTGTGTTTGGCAACATGGCATTTTCATTTCACTCTTCAGACAATGCCAATTTTAGTTTATATAATCCACCAAAAGCAAGCAAAAATCACCTTCTTCCTAATAAAAACATACAGCATGTTTCTAAATTAATGCAGCAAACATTAAGGGGTGACAGAACATTTCAAATAAAAAATGTTTCATCATTAAATACATGGTTGCAAGCCCAGCAATCATGTACCAAATGATATTCCATTCTTATCTGACCCAGGAAAAATAGGACATAAAACATCTAAAACCTTTAATGAAGAGAAGTAAACATTAATAACTGTTTGACATGATGAAACAAAGCAATCAGAATTATACACATTACAGAACAACACAATGAACAAAAAGTAAAAATGAAATCACACGTACAAATATCACTAACTACTGGAAGTGCACTTTCAAATCAAAATGGTGGATACTATATTTTATTATAGCTGCCAATCTTGAAATATGACAAAAATGAGAGCTCTTGTGCCATAAACCAAGTTTCTGGAAGTTTTCATGCTGCACAATGGCACCATTTAAAAATAACTACAAACTGATTTAAGTGAATAACAATACATGACAATGACTTAATCACTTTACAATGCATGATTGTGATGATGATAACTATTATTTATAATAGGACTCTGATGTAAAATATATTAATATATAACTAGATGTTGTAAATTCCATGCTTTTTGGCTAACTTCATTTTGTAATTTTTCTTATACTTTTAAGGTTACCTATCTGCCATTAGTTGAAAAAATTCCAAATTTTAAGAAAGCAAACATATAAAAAGAATTTTAAAAAAAGGGGGATAAACATAGTTTTAAACAAAAATTTGTTAAAAAAGGAAAAAGGACAGTTTTAAAAAAACATATCTCATAAAAATTATACATATTTTGGCAGGAAAATTAATATCAATTAACATAATGTTAAGATATATATCAGTTATATGAAATACAACAAAATGTAATGAAAATATGCTAACTAAAGTTTTAAAATCAATGTTTTGGCATTAATTCAAATGTTAAAAAAATTACAAAAAATACGATCCAAACATGAATGGGATTTTCAGATAATTTAAATTTTCAAAATGTGATTAATTACTTTGATATTTAGAATCAATAAGACATATTTAACTATAGCCACACAAACACATCATTATCCATCTAAAACTGAAGCACATCACTTTTTAACAGAATCAACCATTTTAATTTAGATGCACAACCACACCTTATCTCCTTTGTGGAATTCGAATTTGTTCAGTAGCTCTTGTGTCGTATCAGGTCTTCATTTTCTCCATCGCCAAGTTGACGCGCTCTCAAACAAAGTTGTGCATCTCTTCAAACCGAGCCTAGAGATCTTTAATATATTCCTCAGGCAATGAAGGCACATTTGGTGGGCGATTTGAATTTCCGGTATAAGACGCCGTTTCGAATGTGAAGTGAATCCCAGAGTGCCCAATATTGTTTGGTTGTAGGACTACAGATAGAAATGTCCTGCCAGGTAGGTTTTCTGTTTGATGACTCCATTAGATCAATTATGGGTTTAATGTCGCGGTCTTCCAGCTGATCTTTCCTGACTTCATCATCACTCCACGGTTCTCGATCAGCCGATGTTGATGTTGTAATTTGTTTTGCGACCGGAGTCAGCAGCTCGTATTTCGCTTCCACTCTGGAACAATATCGACAGTTTTCTTGGCAAGGCGGCATTTCCGTGTGATGATCCCTTACGATGACGGACAGTGATGTCATATTCTTGGAGTCTCTGTATCCACCTGGCTATTTGACCCTCAGGATTCTTGAAATTTAAAAGCCAGGTCAATGATGCATGATCGGTGCGGAGCAGGAATTTTCTGCCGTATAGATAGTGATGGAACTGTTCTACAGCTTTGACTATGGCGAACAACTCTTTCCTGGTGACACAATAATTCCTCTCTGGTTTAGACAGGCACTTGCTCCAGTAAGCTACTACACGTTCTTGGCCGTCTACTTCTTGGGACAAAACAGCAGCGACACTTTCGTTGCTCGCGTCTGTGTCGAGAATAAATGGTCTGCTGAGCTGAGATATGTCAGGATTTGAGCAGAAGTTAAAGCTTCCTTTAAGTTGTTAAATGCATACTCGCATTCTTTTGTCCACAAGAACTTTTGCTTGCTCTCTGTCTGCATGTGAAGGGGTCTTGCGATGGAAGAAAAGTTCTTGACGAATCTTCTATAGTAGGTGCAAAGCCCTAAGAAGCTTCTCAGCTCATGGACATTTTCGGAACATCTGCAGGATTTAACAGCTGACACCTTTTCAGGATCCGTGCACACACCTTCTGCAGAGATGACATGTCTGAGATAAATCACTTCCTGTCTGAATAATTTTCATTTAGCGGGACTCAACTTTAGATTGGCTTCCTTCAGTTTTTGAAGTACCTTTCTAAGATTATCTAGATGTTCTTCAAAAGTCTTTCCGACGATGATGATATCATCCAGGTATATCAGACACTCCTCGTAGGAAAGACCTTTCAAAACAGTCTCCATTAGGCGCCCGAATGTAGCCGGTGCATTGCACATTGCAAAGTTCAAACAGCACCACCTTGAACTACCAAAGTCCTTGTCCTGTAGTAAATGCAGTCTTTTCTCGGTCATCAGGATATATTTCTACCTGCCAATACCCCCTCTTTAGATCAAGTGTTGAGAACCACTTGCTTCCAGAAAGCATATACAGAATATTGTTCTAGGAAATTCTAGGAAAAGGGTAACTGTCTTTCTTCGTAACCTCATTCAACCGGCAATAGTCAATGCAAAATCTTGTTGAGCTGTCTTTCTTTCTGACTACAAAGATGGGAGATGCCCATGAATTTGCTGAAAGCTCGATGACATCGCCTTCTTCCATATCCTTTAAGAGTGTTCATACCTCTTCCTGTTTAGCAATCGGTAGAAGTTTGGATGTTGCTTGATCGGGGTATGATCAGCAATATCGATTCTATGTTGTGTCAAACTAGTTCGACCCACGTCAGAAGAGGAGCGGGAGAAAACATCTTGAAGATCTTTAATGACATGATCAGCAGCATTCTTCTCTTCATCGTTTAATTGCATATTCTGCAGTAACTCTGATGTAATGCTTTCTGGAGTGTTACTCTTTCATTTAATACTGGTCACTGGAGTACATATTGCAATCACTCTCGTTTTCTCAGTTACATTGGGAACTCTCACCGGGATAACGATCCTCAACAGGTCGATGAGTGCTGAGGCTACTAGTGCTCCTTTTGGCCTATAACAGTTCCTGGAATATTCTATGATGCCGTAGTTGAAATTTCTGTTTTCAGCTATGGATCCAGGAAGTAAGATTTTTGTTCTTGCCGGTATTGTGATATTATCTTGCACTATGATTTATTTGGACAGATTTAACTTCTTCATAATGAGGTATTAATGAAACCAATGAATAGCTGCCAAATTTTCAATAAAAAAGGAAA